ATATATATATATATGTGTGTATATATATATATATATATATATATATATATATACCAAAAATATTTCGTTTCTGTTATAGGGTGAGTGCCAAGACTACTCTTTTATTTATTTTTATAAATATATATATATATATATATATATATATTTGAAGGGTGCACTCCGTGAAAAGACCTGTGAGTGCACTCTTCTCTCTTCTTTCAAGTATATAGACTTAACACGGGACTGCACCAAGGCACCTACTATCTGGAATAAAGAAGGGGTGAGTGCCAAGTATTTGTGAATATATATATTGTTGGTAGAGAAACATGACACCTTTTTAACTATGCATTTTTACTTAGTCTTTTAATCATACAACCAGCACATCCACAAAATCTTTCTAAAAATAAAGAAAAAAGAAAAATGACTGTGAAACAGCTAGATAAATAAATGCACAAATACTAGAGTTAGCAAGAGCCACTAAATCCATTATCTGGAGAATAGCCGGAAGAAGGCAAAATAATGGTACAGTGCACGAAAACAAATGATAAAATTCACATGATAAGAAATGATAGATAAACCATATAAACTTTGTGATAAAAACTCTCTGTATAGTCTACAAGACAAGCTACTTAATGTATTGTCCAAGAAATATATAAGTGAATCATTCCTAATAAATACAATTCCAATAAATAAAAATAAGATCATATCTAGAAATTGAAAGGTTTTACTTTGTTCCGTGAATATCAATTTTTCACTGTAGCAAATATTTATATAAGCTGTATCCTATTGCATCTACTGGATTTAATAACTAAACATATCTTCTAGATACTTTAAGATAGTGAATTGGATTTGATTTGCATTGAGACAGCATGTGTCAGCTACTGTATCTAAGAAGCTTACACTGAGAATTTGTGATCAAAATCAAACATTTTTTATTTTGAGCACGTTAAAAAAACACCCTAGAGTCATAAAGGAAGGGAGAATACTTTTCATAATATAAACAGTTATCCATAATTAAAACTATGCAATTATATGCACACTATGAAAATTACATCTTTTCATGACAGGCACATTTTAAAAATATAAATACATAAAAACGAGTCCTTCGCTCAATCTCCCACTAGTTTTGGGTGGCTGCAATGACCATAGTACACATCAGCCTCAATACATACAGTAAAAAAACTAAGAAAAAAAGTTACATGCTCTCTTCCCAAATACCTATGCATATTTAACCAAATGGAGGTTATTTAGTTAGTCCAATGGCCATTAGAGGGATGCCCACCTGCCATGTCAAGGCAAATCTGTTAGGTGGGTCCTACACTGACTATTCACCTTGCTTCCTTGAACTTCTGGCAAAGATGTATCTAATGAGACAGAGAGGGCTATTTTTCTAAACCCTTACCTGCTTATTAACCCTTAAAGAAAACTAATCTTCCTGCATTCCAGAGAGGTGTCCTTGAGGGGGAGCTATGAGTAAGTAGAGGACCTTAGAGTATGGTAGAAGTGTGGAATACAGGCAGGTTATCTTTGTTTCTATCATGCACTTGTTCATTGTGTATTTTGCCATAAGAGAATTTGTTATGATCTAATATTCAAAACAATCACCACTAGTCCTTATGTATGACTTTGTTTCCATGGTTGTAAATACCTAGTTTCAAAATGTATGTATAACTTGCTAATTTGCACACTCTAACTTAAAAATACCTAATTCATGTACACATTCATATTTTTTATGTTGCCTACGGAAGATCAACACCTTTAACCCCTTAGTGACCGCGGACATATCAAATACGTCCGACAAAAGCGGTCCTTAAAGACCGTGGGAGTAACTGATAGGTCTGCAGCTAATTAGATAGCTGGAAGCGATCATGATCGCTTCCAGCTGCTCTAACGGTATTGCCGAGGCATTGTGAAATACCCCCCCTCACTGCCGGGCTGCTGGGTGATCGCTCCCCTGGAGCAATCACGTCCGGGTTGCCCCACGTGGCGCCTGGCAGTGAGGCAGAGCATCGCAAGCCATTAGGCATGCTTCCGATGCTCTGCCTGTGCTGAGTGCCTTGAGGGGTCAGGACACTCAGTAGATTTCAATAAAAAAAAATTTAAATAAATTAATTAATTTACAAATTAACCCTATCCCTCCCTCCCTCTCCACTTACCTGATCACCGCCGTTCCCCCGCCGGCAATTGGTCTTCTTCTGTGGGGGGGACTGTCTAGGCTCAGCCCAGACAGTCCCCCTTCTGCAAATTAGGACCCCGAGGGGCCATGTGACCGCTCTAAAAAAGCAGTCACATGGCCGCAATAGGTGTCCACAGTGCTGCCAGCTGGTGAAAAAAGTAAAAAATAAAATAAAAAAAAATAAAAATTAATTAAATTTTAAAAATATATATGTATATATGAGATACAATATATATGTATACAAAGTGTATTTTAGTTATCAATATATATATAGAGAGAGTAGAGTAAAATTACACGTGTGTATATATGTATATGTATGTATGTGTATGTGTGTCTGTGTGTGTGTGTGTGTGTGTGTGTGTGTATATATATATATATATATATATATATATACATATATATAGTAAAAATTTTATATTTAAAAATAAATAAAAAATGCAAAAATAATTTGTAAAAAATTATATGCAGTTTTATTCTAACTGTATTTTAATATTAGTATATATATATATATAGTTCAAACTGATGGTCCGCACTCATGGTCTTGGTAAAATATAACTTTTATTCGTTACATATAAAAACGATGCCAATAATTCATCGACGTTTCAGTCCCGAACCGGAACTGAAATGTCGATGAATTATTGGCATCTTTTTTATATGTAACTAATAAAAGTTATATTTTACCAAGACCGTGAGTGAGGACCATCAGTTTGAACTCTGCATATCTGGATGACCCAGGCATGGCACCAGGCATTTCTAAGTATATATACATTTCTTTAGCCAGAAGTGAAAGGAAATTATGGAATATTATATTATGTGTATGTGTGTATGTATATATATATATATATATATACATATATATATATATATATATATATATATATATATATATATATATACATATATATAGTAAAAATTTAATATTTAAAAATAAATAAAAAATGCAAAAATAATTTGTAAAAAATTATATGCAATTTTATTCTAACGTTATTTTAATATTAATATATATATATATATATAGTTCAAACTGATGGTCCGCACTCACGGTCTTGGTAAAATATAACTTTTATTAGTTACATATAAAAACGATGCCAATAATTCATCGACGTTTCAGTCCCAAACCGGGACTGAAATGTCGATGAATTATTGGCATCTTTTTTATATGTAACTCTTAAAAGTTATATTTTACCAAGACCGTGAGTGAGGACCATCAGTTTGAACTCTGCATATCTGGATGACCCAGGCATGGCACCAGGCATTTCTATATCTTTAGCCAGAAGTGAAAGGAAATTATGGAATATTATATTATGTGTATGTGTGTATGTATATATATATATATATAACGATAATACGAAATATACATATGTCCATATACATAATTACATAACTAATTTTATCATTATACACATAGATTTCAAATATATAAATATGTATATATATTTAAATTCTACATGCATATTTATGTCATATTTTTGCATAATTAAGTAATTTTATTGATTGCAATTTTGGGGACCTGCCTGACAACCCAGAGAATTTAATTTGCTAGCACTATATTTACCCTGTAACTTTCCAAGACACCCTAAAATCTGTATATGAAGGGTACTGTTTTACTCAGTAGACTTCGATGAACACAAATATTAGTGTTTCAAAACAGTAAAACATATCACAGCGATGATATTGTCAATGAAAGTGAAGTTTTTTTCATTTTTCATACACAAACTGATGATATCATTGTTGTAATATGTTTTACTGTTTTAACACACTAATATTCATGTTTAGCAAAGTCTACATATACAGGTTTTATAGTGTTTTTGAAAGTTACAGGGTCAAATATAAGGCTGTTTTTTCACATTGAAATTTGCCAGATTGGTTATGTTGCCTTTGAGAGTGTATGGTAGCCCAGGAATGAGAATTACCCCCATGATGGCATACCATTTGCAAAAGAAGACAACCCAAGTTATTGCAAATTATGTGTGTTTAGTCTTTTTCGAGTAGCCACTTAGTCACAAAAACTGGCCAAAGTTAGCAATCAAAATTGTTTTTTGCATTTTTAACACACAAACAAATATTAATGCTAATTTTGGCAAGTGTTTGTGACTAAGTGGCTACTAAATAGACATACCCCATATTGAATACCGTGGGTTGTCTCCTTTTCAAAAATAAATGGTTTGATAGGGGTAAATTACATTGTCCGGCTTCAAAAATATCCTAAATAGGACACGAGTGCATGATGACCAGCTGTGAAAATTCCAAGTTGGAAAACTGGAATGCTCACCCTCCAAATAAGGTCTTTTTTTTTAATTCTTTCTTTTGGGTGCAAAGGTAATACGGTACAAAATAGCTCACAGTGCCCCAACAACAACTGTTAGCGTTCCGAGTAACATGTTAAAACAGTGTTAAGGAATGATATACAATGCACATTTTTATAGTTCTAGTAAAAGACGATGAACAAAATAGTGTTGATAGTCAGTGTGTAGGTTAGTGCGGTCGTTAGGTTTGTCAACTGACTGTGTTATTGAAGAGGGATATGTCGCTTAACTGCTGTTTCATGCGGGTGGGAGAGGTACACAGTGTCGCTATGTCTTACAGCTATGTGTGATGTTTGGGGTCGTTGTGGTGAGTCAGTGGCAGTAATGATGTATGGCTACAACTGGTGCAGTGTGTGTGATTCCTAGAGTGTAGTCAGGTATGCTGTGCTCTGTGTCTAAGTGCGGTCGAGTTGTACGTGAGACATGTGAGGGAACAAATCATAAAGGCAGTAAGATAATATAGATTGGCAGTTCAAAGAATTAGGTATGGCTGGGTGGGATGCGCCTGTCGTGCAGTCGGCTCCTTCAGCCAATGCCCCTCAACGGAGGCTCAGCGACCTGTGGTTATGTGAGTTCTCCTTGCTCTGTGTATAGCTTGAGAAATATTTGAGCAGGAATGTCCAGATGTGTGGCTGTGGCTTCTCGCAGTTCTGTGCCCCATACCAGTCCCTGGATTCCGTTTCGGTGTGTGCCGCCATTCTGTGGGTTACAGGTTGATTGAGGGTCGGGTCCTCTGTCTTTCCGGGACTGGCTCTGAGGTGTATTTTCCCGTGCTGTGTTGACTTTTGGCTCTCTTGTAGAAGTGGTGTTGATTTAGTGCTTTTCCAGGCCACCCGACCGCGAGCTCGGTCCTGTATGTTTGGGTGTCTGACGCCTGTGCGCGGGCGGGGATCCCAGGGAGTCTGCTTGGGGTGCTGGTGCGTGTGGGTTGTCCGTGTGGCTAGCTGGTGCTTGGAGCACCTTATGATGAGTATCGCGGGTCGCATCTCACTTACATGTTGCCATTTCGCCTTCAAATGCTTCCAGGGGGCCTCGCTTCGCTCTTTGTGCTCGTGACTCCACTCGCCCTTGAGTAGTTGGGTTTGCGGTTTTGTCTGGGCTATTTGCATCTTTTCTCTGAGGCTGGACCAGAATCGGGCAAAGGTTGTGTTTATGTGCTGCTGTATGTCACTGCTTTCCTCCAGTTCAGGTCTGTGAGGATGTTCACTTGATAGGCTTGCCGCCGCCTTTTTGGGAGCGCCATGTGCTTGGCCTCCCCGTTTCTGTCATTCCTCAGGCTGCCGTACTGGTCCGTGTCTACCTCTCCCATCGCACGCTGTGGGCCGAGATATCCCCCATTGGTCCGGGGGTGGGGGGGTAGGAGGAGGGAGCCCCGAGGGATCCATACCCATGTCAGTCAGCATGGAGAGCGGCCATCTCTCCATAGTTTGATCTCCGGTGGGCCTCAGGTTAACAGTGCAGGGTTCTGGTGGGTCATACATTTGTTTCTGGTATCAGAGGGTTCACCGTCCCTGTCTCGCTGGCTCCACTTTAGTGTGCTTTGTGCCAGTTCTTTGGGGGTTTTTCCCCCGATTTGTGTCATTTTGTGCAGGAGCTGAAGCTTGGCATGACCATTCAGCTTAGCTGCTAAGCTCCGCCCCCCAAATAAGGTATTTTAGCCCCCAGAGAACCCAAAACACTGATACATGGGTCGTACCACTGTACTCAGGAGATGTTGCTGAACACATATTGGGGTGTTCTTTGGCAGTAACCCTTAAAGTTCTCGGTTCATGTTTTTTGGCGGTTGTAGATGCGTAACAGATTTTGGGGGTCAAAGTTAGAAAAAGTGTGGGGAGGGGGTTTTACATATTTTTTCATCATATTTTATACTTTTTTTTAAATTTCTATGATGAAAACAATGGTATCTTTAGAAAGACCATTTAATGGCAAAAAAAGGTATATAATAAGTGTGGCTACAGTAAATGAGTAAGAGGAAAATTACAGCTAAATACAAACACCTCAGAAATGTAAAAAGAGCCCTGGTCCTTAACGGTATGAAAATTGAAAAAAGGGTCTGGTCACTAAGAGGTTAAACATTGTTAAAAACTATATAAATTACCTGTTTTAAGGTTTTTGGTCAGAGATCATTTGTATGGTTCATTTTGCATGAATCGCACATTTGAGAATTCCCCAGAGTGACTCGATAATATTAAGGTCAGGAGACTGTGATGGACACTCTAGATCCATCACCTTTTTCTGCTGTAACCACTGGAGAGTCAGCTTGTCATGCTGGAAAGTCCAAGAGCGTCCCATGCACAGCCTTTGTGCAGAATAATGCAAATTGTCTGCCAGTATTTTCTGATAACATGCAGCATTCATCTTCCCATCAATTTTCACAAGATTCCCCGTGCCTTTAGAGCTCACACACCCCTAAAACATCAGTGAGCCACAACCATGCATCACAGTATGGATGGTATTTGTTTCACTATAGGCCTTATTGACCCCTCTCCAAACATAGCACTTATGGTTGTGACCATAAAGCTCTATTTTGGTCTCGTCACTCCAAAATACAGTGTGCCAGAAGCTGTGAGGTGTGTCAAGGTGTTGTCGGGCATATAAAAATAATAATTAGTGAGTGATGTGTATGTATGTCTGTGAGTGTATGTGTGTCTGTGAGTGACTGAGTATGTGTCTGTGAGTGTGTGTGTGTCTGTGAGCGATTGTATGAGTGTGTGTGCATGTGAGTGTATGAGTGTGTCTGTCAAATCAGTAAGAGTATGTTTGTCATTGAGTCTGTGTGTTACTATCAGTGTGTCAATCGGTGTGTGTCTGTCAGTGTGTGTCAATGAATGAGTGTGTGTCAGATCAGTGAGTCTGTCTGTCAGTGACGTCTGTGTGTTTGTCATTCAGTGTATGTGACTGTCAATGTGTATACACCACTGAGTGTAGCGTGGCAGAGCGGAGCACTGTACAGGAGATTCTGTTTCCTGTACCCGGCCAGACTGACAGGAGGTGCTCACTGAGAGAGCACTCTCTGTCAGTCCAGCCGGGTACAGAAAACTGAAGCTCCTGTAGGGGATCTGCTCCTCTTGGCAACGCTATGAGAGAGGAAGGAGGCACACCAGGAAGGGGAGTGTGACCACTAAGGGGGTGGAGGGTGCCCCAAGGGACAGGGAGGGGAGGGAGAGAAACACCAAGGGACAGGGAAAAGAGGGGGGAGGGGACAAGAACACTAAGGGACAGGGAGGGGACCACTAAAAGACGGGGAGGGGAGAGGGCGGAAAGATGTATCTCAGCCTATGTACCCAAAAATCCTTGCACTGGCCCTGCCCCAAGCCGCAGGTCTCGGGTAGGGGTGCAGGGGGCACTATGCCCCTACTCGTGGCATACCACGAGTAGGGGCATGCAGGAGGATTTAACCTCTCTTTTATCAATATGGGGTTCATAGTGACCCCCATACTGATTAATATTTAGTTTTATGACTGTCATTTAAAACTGAATATAAATGTCTTCTATAGAAGTGTAAAGAGTACGGTAAGAGTACGTGTAAAAAGTAGCTATTTAGATCTAAATAGCTACTTTTTCAAATTGCAACATTGTTATAGTTTTTACTATAAATTTTGGTTATATGTACTCTTACCATAGCTCTCTATCACTTCAATGTAAAATACTGATTTATTTACATCCAGTTTTAAATGACAGCGAGCACTGGCTGCTCGCTGTTTAGGTGACATGCCCCTACTGCACTGGGGGAACCTGGCACAAGTGCGACATGCCGCGAGTAGGGGCAAGCAGGAGGATTTAACCTCCCTTTTATCAATATGGGGGTCATAATGACCCCCATACTGATTTATGTTAAGTTTAAATGACAGTGAGCATCCCATGCCCCTACTGCGATTTTACCTCCCTTTTATTAATATGGGGGTCATAAAGACCCCAATAGGTTTTAACAAGGAGGAAGCTGGTAGTGCTGCCAGCTCCCTACTTTTTTCTTTTTTTTCACGCAGTGCTGTTTTCGTCCTAATGGACGAAAACGAATAATTTTTTAATGAATTTCGTTAGAAAACGAATGGTTTGTGGATGAAATTTAGGATTGCCGAATTATATTTTTATTTGGTAAGAAATCATTTCTGCGAAACGAAAATTTCACTGTTTCACAGGTGTAGTTAAAATCAAGCGCTGCTTCGTTCGCATATGATGAAGGGTACAACCAGGCCCGGACTGGCCATCGGGCACACCGGGCAAATGCCCGGTGGGCTGCGGTGGCCGTGGGGCCGAGGCCGGCAGGGGAGGTCCCAGGATCTCCCCGGGCGGCCCCTGCAGGGCCGGCACTGTCCCAGCGCCGGCCCCGCTGTCTGCCACGACGGGCCGGTGGGGAGATCAAAGCTCTCCCTCACCGGCCCACATGCGGCCGCCGGCGGGGAGGGAGGGAGGGAGCCAGCCAGCCAGGCTGGAGAGAGGACCCGGCGGAACTCTAATTTGCAGCTCCGCCGGGTTCTTCTCGCGAGATCCGGCGCGTTGCCATGGCAACGACCGGATCTCGCGAGAGTTCACTCACCCACGAGGACCACCAGGGAACCCCGCCACCCCGCCTGCCAGGTGCCAGCGTGCCGGTCCCCCCCCCCTCCCTCTCCCAGGCTAAAGGTAAGAAGGGAGGGGGGGGGAATAATGACTGTTTTTTGTTTTATTTATTTTTTTTATTTACCCCCCACACACAATAACATTTATACAGCACTCTCACACCCATCACACACAGCACTCTCACACCCATCACACACAACACTCTCACCCATCACACACAGCACTCTCACACCCATCACACACACACTCTCACACACAGCACTCTCACACACATCACACACAGCACTCTCACAGTCAGCACTCTCACACTCAGCACACTCAGCACTCTCACACACATCATACACAGCACTCACACCCATCACACACAGCACTCTCACACCCATCACACACAGCACTCTCACACATCATACACACACTCTCACACACAGCACTCTCACACACATCATACACAGCACTCTCACACTCAGCACTCTCACACTCAGCACACTCAGCACTCTCACACACATCATACACAGCACTCACACCCATCACACACAGCACTCTCTCACCCATCACACACAACACTCTCACCCATCACACACAGCACTCTCACACCCATCACACAGCACTCTCTCACACAGCACTCACACCCATCACACACAGCACTCTCACCCATCACACACAGCACTCTCTCACACATTACACACAGCACTCTCTCACACAGCACTCTCTCACCCATCACACACAGCACTCTCACACCCATCACACACAGCACTCTCTCACACAACACTCTCACACCCATCACACTCACAGCACTCTCACACACACAGCACTTTCACACACACAGCACTCTCTCACAGCACCCTCACACCCATCACACTCACAGCACTCTCTCACAGCACTCTCACAGAGCACTCTCTCACACCCATCACACTCACAGCACTCTCTCACAGCACTCTCACAGAGCACTCTCTCACACAGCACGCTCACACTGCACCCTCACACACGGCACTCTCACACACGGCACTCTCACACACGGCACTCTCACACCCATCACTCACACCGCACCCCTCACACACACACACCGCACCCTCACATACACACAGAACCCCCCCAACACACTGCACCACACACATACTTCCAAATATAATATATATATATATATATATATACACACACACACACTACACTCTTAAAGGACCACTCTAGCCACCCAGACCACTTCAGCTTAATGAAGTGGTCTTGGTGCCAGGTCCTTCTAGGGTTAACCCATTGTTTTATAAACATAGCAGTTTCAGAGAAACTGCTATGTTTATCAATGGGTTAAGCCTTCCCCCAAAGCCTCTAGCAGCTGTCTCATTGACAGCCGCTAGAGGCGCTTGCATGCTTTTCACTGTGAAAATCACAGTGAGAGCACACAAGCGTCCATAGGAAAGCATTATAAATGCTTTCCTATGCGACCGGCTGAATGCGTGCGCAGCTCTTGCCGCGCGTGCGCATTAAGCCGACGGGGCGGATCGGAGGAGGAGAGCTCCACGCCCGGCGCTGGAAAAAGGTAAGTTTTAACCCA